CTGGAGCTGTGGCTAACAGCAGGTTTAACTAGAGCCAGCCTGATAGCAGCCTCTGCTGCTCTCAGGGGACTGGACATGAGTGAACTGCCTTCACTTTGCTCTGCCTCACCTAGAGCCCTGTCAGGTCCTTCCCAAATGAATCAGCCACTCTCTCTCTGGGTTCCCTGGGTGGTGTGTGTTTCCTGCTATCTTTAGTATTTGTTTCCACCAGCCTTTGCAAAGTGTCTCACTCAAGGGAGTCGTCTTTAAACAGATGCTAGAAAAGACAGGGTGCTGTGTGGAGACACCACACACAATTTACAATGACTTTATAGCCTAAGCCTGGCTCTTTGGTGTGCACTCGTTATTAAAAGTGAACATATTTTCTTACATTAAAATGTTTATTTGTCCATACTTTATACTACTCTGTACATATTAGTGCTTGGTTTTGGTGTGGTTTTCTCTATAACTTCCACGAGCTCACGGATGTTATTCTAATGAAGGATACCTATGTGAGTTTTCTGAAATAAAAAACCTTTCCTATTTATCTCAAACAAGGCCAAATACTCACTTTATGTTAGTCAACCAACTCTGCTATGATTCCCCTGAGCTGCATGGAATGGAAAGACATTTCTCTAAAGCACACAGGAGACAGCTAACTCTCTCTTTGTTTCCTGTGCCCTAATTATTCCATTATATTTTGACGTCTTTTCTCCTGAAATGACACTGACTTTAAAAAACTCACATATTTCATGCATGCTTTAATGAGAGTGATGACTAAGAATATTAAATATTGAGCCTTTCTTTCATTATGGGTCAGTTTTTGAATTTACTTTTGGGGCAGTTTTGAGTCACTAGACTATATTGTTAAGACACAACAGTGTATAGAAGTTACAACTTGCAACAAGAAAACATTGGCTTTTAAAAAATTTTGTAAGCGTGGATGACTGTAAATGATCATTTTGTTCTTTACTTTTTATATTTTTTACAGCTACCTCATGTTTATTTTAAAATACTCAAAATACTGTCAGGCAATATGATTTCAGAAAAGTCTAGACATTACATAAAAAGGATGTCTAGGATTTCTGAAGTTTAATTACATTTTCTTCTTTGGAAAATAAACAAAGTCTTGGTAAAACTATATTACGCTAAAAAAAGAAATAAATTAAGAAGATTCAACAACACTTTACAGATATATTAGGGAAGCTCATTGATTAAAATGTTACAGACTGACAACTCTCCAGGGATCCAGCCAAAAACACTGGAAAAGAAAACAGTGCTACGAATTGGAAAGAGAACAGATTCAATTTGGTTTGAAACTACACAAATGTACCTCCAACAAAGGAATGCTGTTGAATAATGATATCAAGTACAGAGTGCCTTGACCTTAGTTATGCAGAGAATTGGCTAAATAAATTTTTACCTGTGATTTGGAGCAAAAAAATCCAAACAAACAAACAAACAAAAAAACAACAAAAAACAAACAACCAGAACACTGGACATCAATATTATCAAAATTGTCACCAGGGTGAAGAAACCAGTGACTAAGTCTGGCAAAAGGAAAGACTACTTATATATACCTATTCAAAGTTTTCCAAAAGAAAACTCTTAAATTTGTTCAACCAACTGAGCATTTATCAAGTGGACAAAATCGTCATAAATGGTATATCTCAAATTCCCTTAAAATATTACACATAACAGGATATATTCCTAGAGTGAGTCATGTTTATCTGTGGTAAACTGGTGAATATATTTCCTTTTTTCCTTTGCATCCAAACAGAAAATTTTAATTGAAAATGTCATAGATTTATTCATACAGTATTCCAAACACCAGCCTTCTTCTGCTGTTTCTTAGAGCTGGTGCCTGAAGTGCTACACAATTGGGTCAGAGCATCATCAAATCCACGTGGCTTGCCTCTGCAAAACCATCACAGAGCAGGCAGAAAGCCTGGCCTGCTCTTTTTATTGGTATCACCCCACTTCCACAGCAGTAACACAGTGGTTACCCAAAAGAGGCTCATTTTCAGCTCCTGCCTCAAAGTAACAGAAATTAGCACAGGGTCTGACTGGAGCCAGAGTCATCCTCATCTTCCCAGAGGAGAGCAGAGGTACAACAGCACAGTTACAGAATTAATCCATCTGTTTTACACCATCTTATATTGCCTCCCTGACTCACATTCCCAGCTTCCTCTCCACCCCTTCTCCCATGTCCCCATCTCCTCCCCCTTAGCCCACTCTCAGCACCCCTGTTCCAACACCACAAATGTGGGGTGACATGAACCCATCCACAGCAACTGGAAACCTCAGAGGCTGGGATAATCCCAGCCCAAACCACACCCTGTGAGAGCTGATGCTGCTCACATCCCATGTCCAATGAGGACATTTTTTCTCCTGTCTAAAGTAATGGCTAATGGCTGCTCAAGAGAAATCTTATACCCTAAATTATGAAACCTCAGCAGGGCCATAGATTTTACACCTAGTACAGTTGTTCTTTGTAGCTATTCTTTGTCCCTCTGCTATATCTCTGGAGGATGCTGTTTTCAGCAGGAGATGCAGGGTGCAGCTGATTTCCCAGAGGTGCTGGTTTCAGCCAGTCTTCCCTCCCATTTCCTGCTGCAGGACTGTAAGTTAAGGGCTTTTCCTCAGGACTGTGTTGTAGATTGGAAACACAGTATCAGGGTGAGGATGATGCACATGGTTTGAGGGACAGAATCCCTTCCAGGAAGGGCTTGGTACTGAGCTGTAAGATGGTCTAAGTACATTCTAGCTTTAGCTTCATCCTGCTTTTCCCTGTTGGGAAGAATTACTCAGCAGTAACTATCAGTATCATCAATGCCACCACTTGGCTTCACCCTTTCCCAGTTTTCACCTCAAATGTCAGTTTGAAGCTTGTGAAAATTACTCAGGGATGCAAGAGAAACACACCTCTAAGTGAGTGTGCATTCACTGCTGCCTACAGGAACCAAGAGAGACTTGTATGTGTGACAATAAGGCATACAGAAATTAGTGTGCAAACAGCTGTGAAGGACCATGGCTGGCCCTGAGCTCCTCATGGAGCCCACAGTTCATCACTTACCTTGTGACACTGACACATCTGGGCTCTGTGGACCTCTCCAATTCCTCTCTCTCTCTCTCCCAGCCAGCAGTACTCACAATAATGGTTGGGAGCATGAAATTCCTGTTTTTCATGCTAAGCCACTGCAGACTGCTCCCAGGAGGATGCCTATTTATTACTGGCCCTGTGCCCTGAAAACTGACCTAATGAAGCAATACAGAGCAGCTGATGTTGGCAGTGCCTGTGGCTTGGACAATTAGAGAAGCATTTATTGGCAAAATATTTGTGCCCCAAAGGCTACCACATACAGGTCTCCTGTCTTGATAATTCTGTAGTGTGAGGATTTTTTTCCCCCCTTTCAAAACCACATATAAGTTTTGCATTTGAATCCTTTAAGGACAGAACACGGCTTTACTTAAAATAAATAAATAAATAAGTAAACACCTTAATTTAAGCTCTCTTTTAATTACTAAGTTTTAACTAGTGCCTCCTAATGGTATGAAATACGTCCAGAATATTACGTGCACCAAATAGAAAATATTGTGTTTGTCAAGGTATCTCACTTTTATTCCTCTGATTGTTTCCCTGATCCTGCTGGTGAGTGAGGAGCTGAGAGGGGCTGGAATGCCTCCAGTGTATTAACCAAAGAGAGCATTCCACATGTCGCTGTCACCTGTTAAGTCATGAGGAAAACACTGAAATAAGGAAAATGCTAAATATTACCCAGCCAATGGTGCACTCAGGGTAATCAGTGCTGACCTCTCTCCTAAAATTAAGCACTTGCACATCTTCAGCAGATTTTGAAAATAAAGGGGAAACAGACTCTACCTCTTCATACTCTGAGGAATGCTCAAGGGATATGAGATAAAAGGGTAATTCCTTCTCCTTCAGGTACATTATAAAAGCAAGAAATGGCTGACAATGGATTTTTCTCTCACCTACAGAAGTATTTTTCTCAGAAACACACAGACATCAGAAGTACACAGGTCAGACTAACTAGATGGACTACCAGTGTTTTGGTTTCAAGCAGGGAAGAAGCATTATCCAGCTGCTCACCCAGTCAAGATCTGGATGGAGGAGTTGCTTTAAAATGATGCAGGGACATAACATAAAAAAAAGTACCTATGGAGTTTAAATTATGCCAGGCATAACTCAGAAGAGCTTTTCAAAACAGAAATTTTGGACTTAAATGCCTTACTTGACCTAATTCTGACTTCAGGCTCCTACATAAAGCAGTTCCATTACGTACACTATATATTGATCTTTTGAGCAGATGGTCAATATTTGAGAAACTTGATTCATAATAACTTAATTTTAAACATTTGGATTATTTATATATATATTTATGAGTAAATATGTAACAGCTCCTCTGAGCAGTTACTGTTTTCAAGAGTCAAGTCTATTTAAGTAGTAGATTCTGTGCAAGGGTTTAACCACTGCAGATTTGTCTTTAAAGACATTTATAGCAAAGATGTTAATACCCAAGGAAAACAATTTATATTCTTAAAGCAGGTTACACCTTTCCAAACCTTGGTCGAAACAGGCAGCCAACTTGCACATATAATTAAACTTCAAAGTCCCCTGTAAATGGCAGCCAAAGTTCAATATCTTTTTTCTGAGGTTGGTTGGTGTAGGAAGATTTTCATGAGATGTTTTCTCCTCTGTCATCAATTCAATGATGTAAACAGAGACAGATTAAACGTGCACACCTTTCATGTTGATATGTCTGACTGGAAAAAATAAAACCTCACAGCTGGAATTCTTCCTGAAAACTAAAATAGATGACAAAGTAAAAGACTAGTCTTCTATAGACACTTAATGAAGACAGGCTTCAAGGGGTTTTCTGTACCAGAGAGTATTTTACACCCCAGGAGGAGACAGAGCCAGTAGATTTCTGCAGCTGAGGATTGCAGTCACAGCAGAATAAGTAAAATAACAAAAAAAAATTACTTGTTAAATCACTTACACTGGTTTTCCTTTGGATTCACAAGTCAAAATTATAGATTGTCCTTCTTCAGGCCATGAATTGGAAGAAATGATTTTAACTAAAGGTGTATCTAGGAAGAAAAAAATAGACAACTTGTTGATATACACAAAAAAGATTTATTATCTAAGAGTACATTCTTCTCTATTTACAACAGATTAAACCACAGATTTAATTTACACTTGGAGACAGTTTCATATGGAGCCTTGTGCAACTTCCATTGTCTTCAGGAAGGCAATAAAAATGACCAATGTACCTAAACCAATAACTCTTTATATCCCTCGGAGACACAGATAGAAAGCATGTGTATACTAAGAGAAAACAATTTTTTCTTTCTGTATTCAATGCAAATACTCCATATGACTATCTGAAAGTCTGATATCTAACAACAAAATAATTAAAAAAACCTCAAAAACATAGAGGATGAATAACAAGTACTCCATGCAATTGTTTGCCTATTTTTAGGTTGATATGATGGAATGCTGCTATTAGAAAAATGAATGCAATAGTGTACATTTGAATAAGAACCCTTTTGTTGTTGCAGAAGCTTGAAACTCATAATAAGAAAGCTTCAATAGACTTTCAGATAAAATACCTTGTTACAGACATTTTACAGGATATTATTTCTGAAACGCAATAAAGCTGCCCCTAAACCATAACAATCTTAAGCAGAATTTGCAAGGAGAATGTTTCAAGTATCTGCAAAAAGCACTAGAGAAGAATCTGCAATCTGTCCAATGTCATTGGATTAGTTTTATAGTTTTAATTGCAAAAAGATATGCAATACAGCTACTGTAAATTCATGCTGAATGGAGCATTTGAAACAGATCTTTAACTTTTAAAAAATTTCACCACCTGGCTTGCAAGAATATATTTTCATAGTCAACATATGACTTAGAGGGGCACCTCTATAAGAAGCAAAAAAAGATAATAAAGAAAAGAATGTAGCACATTTCTTCCTTAGGAAGAGGAAAAACAAAGTTCATTGTCACAGTGAAAAAAAATTCAGATTGAGTAGAAAAATTTCTATTTTTCCTCATAGTTTCTTTCTCTATATCTTCCTAATACAAACCACTTTAACCTGCAAATCTAGGGTACCTAAGTTTTGTCTCATTCAATTTGCAGTTGCTGTTTTCCTAAGCAGTGACACCATAGATGTCCTGTTATCAAACAAATGTGAAAGAGCATGACAATATGACCCCACAAAATCAAAGAAACAACAAAAAAAAGCTGTAACAATATACTTTCTAATTGAGATGCCAATAATCCTGTTGAACCCTAAATGGCATCTCAACAATTAAAATTACAGAAACATTTTTCTAAATTTTGATATTTTTTTTTTAAATTTTCGCACACCACAGAGAAAGAGCATGGAACAAGACAAAAAGAGGGAAAGGCTTAGTGCAGACTCTCTGCAATTCCACTGAAAGTATTTTCAGCATCATTCAGCTTTCCAGAACAGCCACACTAACCTTACACCAGTAGCAAATCTGTTCCCCAAGTTCACATTTTTAAGGACCCTGCAAACCATTATGCAGGTGACTAATCCTTTGGAGGCCAGGCTGGCATTTGCTTCATTTTTAGCACATGCTTAAGGCACTGACCTCAAGTGCCTTAATAAATCAGGGCATCAAGTACTTCTGTGATTTCAGTGGTGCTGTTGAAGATGAATAAATTACTCTCTTGACTATACATTGAACCAGAGGAGCAAATTAGCATCAGATAGGAATACATTAAGAATTTAACTGAGGGAGGGAGACAACTAATGCAATGACATCAAGAGGTGTCCAGAGAAATATGAAAAGGAGCAAAACTTTGATGGAAGTAATCCTGACAGTCACAGGTGAAGGAAGAAATTAAAGGTCCATCTAGCTATTATTCCTGGCTTAAATATTTTTAAAAATTATCAGCATTTTATGGAATACTGTAAATGACCCAAACGAAATTGAAGAGAGGATTCCAGACAAGCTTTAATTTGCATGGATCAGTGCAGTGCTGTTTCCCCAAACTTGAAATTCCCATTCCCACTTTAATACACCAGGCAGATCTCTATTGTCCATGCACTTCTAAACAGAGATTACTAACACAGAATAAGAAATGTCTTATATTTATGTTTCACTCTCTAAGGCACAACAAAGTGGTATAGGAAATACATTCCCTAGTGATTTGCCCTGCTAATTGACTTAAACAGTAACTACTTGTTTCTCTAAAGCAGGAAACATAGGGTTTACTTCAAATATATAATTTTTAGGGAAGCTAACAATGGAACATTTTTGCATTTTATTAACGATTCTTTTTCAAAAACTAGATATTCTATTTAGAGTGCTTCATTCTCAGTATTACTGTTTCCATTTTTTCTTTTTAGGCCATGCTTGATTTCTCTCCAGAATTAAAGTGTACACTTAAAAAGGGAAAACTTTTAAGATAAACATGCCCTCTATTTTCACATTCACATCAATAATTTAAATGAGAAGAAATCCTCAGAATAATTGAATTGAATCAAAAGTAATCCAAATATCTTATTTTAACAAAGATGATAGAACCCTGCTGACTGGTACTTTTCCAGAACACAAAATGCTGTTACAAAATAATACCTCCTGCTGTGACTTCAAATTTAAAATTCTTCATTTTAGAATTTGAAAAGTATAAATGTACTCTAATAATGCTTTGAGCTTTGACCTGTCACACTTAAAAGTATTAATTGTAACAACTGGAACATCACATGATCTCCAACAAACACCAACATTAGGGAACAGCCTAAAGAAAGAAAATCAAGAATTGTAATACAGTAAGAGGTTGATTTCTTTACAGATATGTTTATCAGCTTGCTATAAGTAATGTATATATGTAAAAAAAAATCTTCTTCTATTACCAAAACAAACCAAAAGAATTGAGTCAATGGTTTTAATGCAGGTCAGATCTTTTCCTCCTCTTCCAAGGTCAGTAGAAATATAGCAATGTACACCAGTTGAACTTACCAGAACACTAATAATTTGCATATTTTTTAGTACTTAGCCCAGAAATTTCAGGACAATAAAATATCATAGATCAACATTCAAAACATAATTCTTCTGAACAAGGGAGTGGTGACTACACTTTCTTTACAATATCTACAAATACGTCCTTATCCTGAGTTCTAAGAATATTATGGAGGACACAAGTATTCCAGAAAGAATAAGCTTTGGGAAAGTCCAATTCTATAAAAAAACCAGTGGTTTATGTGGATGTAAGCACCACAGCAAGTTTTCCCAGTAAAACACACTGCTTTCAGTACCCAGAGACTTTTTCAGTCACATCCATCTCCAGCAGCAAGAGCTTCTTTGGCCCTCCAGTCTTCAGTTTGAGTAAGGAGGTACTTAAGAGCTGCAACTGATTGCTAAAAACCAATCTGAATTGAGGTTCAAACATGCCTTTTCACTTCTTCTACCCTCTATGAGCACAGAATCTGCTCATTTGTTTCTGGACATACCAGCTACAGGTAAGAATTATGGCATGGGGGCTTTTTTTTCCATGTAGCCTTTCAAGATTCAGCAGACCAAAGGCAAAAGTTCCACTGAGTGACTCTGTTTCATCCATCTTTCTAGGATTTGGGTTCATCTCATCTCACAAGCCCAGGAAACCCATTCCAAAGCTTTGGGAAGATGTATCTATTTTTGATCAAGCTATGTCATCTTCAGTAACACACAAACTCAGTAAACATATGTGGAAAATTGATACCAGCTTACACTGGTAAAAAATCTGATCTGATGCATGAAGAAATTAAACACTTCAACACTCGACTTTTCTTGTACTTTCAGCAGCAACTAATGGCAACATTCATACCTTGTGGAACTGCATTACTGATTGATTTAATCTCTTTGAAGCTATTTTCAGAATAAAGGTGGTTCTTATCAGTCACTAGACCTTTGCTCTTAATCAGATCTTCTATGCTTAAAGGTGAGCGTGTTTGCTTTCAGAAAGTACTTGTTGTTTTTACATTGCTTGAAGTAAAATAGACTTCAGTATGTATTTCTATTATTTTATCATCAAGCCTTTATAAGGTTACATGCAGGAGTAAATTCCTTCATATAAATTTACTCACAAAAAGTAATCACATGAAAGCTGCTGGAAAAATCCTGCATGATGAGTTATGTTATACTTCATGTGCAACCCCTTGACAAACACAGTGTAAAAATGGAAAAATGAATTCATAAAAGCAAACAAATTTGCTAAGACCATGAAACAGGCCACCAACAAAACCAGATAATTAATCTCTACTAGTTTCTTCTTAGTGCCAAGACAGTAAAAGTGCAATTTGGCCTATTTTTCATATGTATCTTCAGAAGTCCTTGGTCCCATCAGTTCTAAGCAATGTCTTCCATGGAACTCACAGCTCTGGCTGAGCCACTAAATCAAAGTATAACCTTTTCATCCTACAGCATTAGTCAGCAACAGGTGGTAGGAATAAGCACATGAAAAATCATTTTGTGACACAAAGAAGTAGCATTATCCTGAGGTTATGACAGGAACACGCTATCTTATCAAATGATCCCTCCCTAATGTAATTATCCTCAGTCAATGTAATTACAGTCCCAGAAACAGAAAATAAGACCACCTTTGTTCTTGGGCAGATGTTAGGGTGGGTGGAGCACATATATTTCATTGACACTTTTAAGAAACAATGGTTGGAAGCAGTAGACTATTCAGGAGTAGGAGTACTCATGGTCTTGTAGTCATTAGAATTCCAGGAGTGCTGAAAATGCACCTATGCAAAAACACATGCAGCAGTCTTTCCTCCAGGTAATTTTCATATATGTATATGTATTAATCTTGCCACTAGATAGATTTCTCTTCACATTTTGTTAAAAGGTAAATCTCAGCCTTTATAGGCATTCCAGTGAAAGGAGGATTAACAGAAAAAATCTTAGTGGTTCTCCTCTGCAGAAATTTACAGAGGAATATTGTATCAGATGTACAGATCCAAGTCAGGGCTTCTAATGTGCAAATTTTCTGCTGAATTACAGAATTAAAAAAAAAAATAAATAAACTTACTATGGAGTTTAAACTTAGCATCCTGAACATCTTTCAATGTGG